TTCCTGCACGATCGACGGCAATTCATTGCCATTTATATGCTGCTCCAATGCTGTGTGCCCATAAACAGTTTTCACATTTTCCTTTTGCGCTGGCGTGCGTCGATCCATTAGCACTGGACATGGCCAATTTACACTTTAGGGCCTCGGCTTGACCGGGACTGGTTTCACTGCCGCCAGCCGAACCGAAGATTGGTCCAGACAACACGTACCGAATCCGTTAAGACACCTTCCTGCGATGCAAACGCCAACAACAACCACTTGAGTCCCATGCTCAGTCTATAGTTTTCGTTATTAATTGCGAACCAAAAATATATGTATATATACTTTTTAGAGCAACTAGTTGACTTGCTATTCGATCTAACCAAATATTTTTCGATTCGCTCAAATCATGAGCAAATCAAGCTTAGCTTTCTTCCTAAACTACTCCATGATTAAGGAGAAATTGTAGGCATATGTAGGCTAAAGGAGCCTGTATCGTAAGCAACAATTGGACTGAAATTAAGTATTATTTTATGATCTTGGAACCTTAGCTTAAGCCTTTGCGACCATAAAAATAGAGCATGGTTAACGAAAGTTCCTTTTCTTTTTTTTTTCTTTTAGACTTATTATAACAATCTTACAAAATATATATAACAAAATTCAAATAGTATAATTGAGCATTGCTGGATTTTAAATACTTAGACTACATTAGCTATTATCTATGCCTTTTGCTTCATTTATCTATTTCAACTTGTCGTCTACCGACTTTGATTTCCACGTGTAACCATCATCAGGTAATTGACTTTTGATCAGAGGAGAAAGCCAAGCGATATACATTTGCTGGCCAAAAATATTTTTTAAATTGTAGTTGACTCCACAATTGTATTTCTGCGAAGCCTTGCACTCCGTACAGACCCGACCCCGTAACATTTTGGGCACATTATAGACCAAAGTTATGGACGTTATGACGAATAGCAGCACATTGAGAGAAAGCAAATGCTTGTGTAGCATACCCCATGGATCGGTCCAGAAATGAAAAATAGTCAATAAACTGAAAAAGCTCTTCAAATGAATCGAATTATAAACTAGCAGGTGGGCCGATAAAACGAACAGGTAGAACACAAAGCACACGAAATACCGATAATTTAGATGCCCAATGCAGCATCCCGTGAACATGCAATGATGATCGCGTTTCAATATGCAAACGCCACACGCCTTGCAATGCCAGGATCTGGGAGGTGCCAGCTTATCGCAAATGGCACAGTGTCGCCAATTGAGAGGTTCCACATCCCCATTGGAGTACAGCACGACACGCTCTTCTAAAGGCGAAAGGAAGTCACATAGTGCCAGCTCCGGGTCGATCAATACTCACGGTCGACGCTTGTGTCAACTATCATGCAGGCAATCAGGTTTGCAATTCCGTTGAGGAACATGAATAGAACTGTAAGTACCGTGAAGGCATATGCATATCCGCCAGGCTGATGGTATGCCGGCAACACAAATATGAAGTCATAGAGAATCCCAAGGGGTATCACAACGACTATCGTTAGGAAACATAGGACGTCTACGAGTCGTCGTGGCAATGGATTGCGCCGGAACTTCATTTGCGGGTATACGAGTTATACGGGGACAAATAACACCGGAATTTAAAGTCAAATAAAAATGTTATGATCTTAGATGAGTTTCGAATTGATTTTGGTTTCTATACTAGTCAACAAAATTGCTTATATTACAAAGCTCACTAAGATTTTATCCAGCGAGAACAGTGTGCTTCAGTAAGTTTTACGTTTCATGTTTAACTTCTTCACATTCAACAAAAAGAAATACCCTGTTATGTCAAAACCTCACTTTTACCGTTCCTCATTTTCCCCAAATTGGGAAACGTTGAGTTCCCATGAAGCCTCTACAAATTTCGTAGTGATCGGACTATAAACACCGACTCGATTCCGGAATAAATCTTCCATGGGGTGTCTGTGCATGCTTGTGAAGGGTGTTTGCTAGTCGGGCACTCCTGCTTGCATTTATAGAGCTGACAATTAGTTCGTTTAACCACATTTAAATGTAGATTTCGAGAAATTATAACAGTAAAAAAACAATGGAATAACATTTGCTGATGGCATAGATTTAACATAAGCTGTTAACAGTTGTAGGTATGTGGGTTGGATAACAATTGGTAAAACAATTTTATTTATGTATAAATAAAAGTGTTGATTCTGTTATATGCACATACATACACAACCATAAGGTACCACGAAATATGTGTTCTTAAAGTAAATGCTCACTATTCACAATAATTATTCATTCACGATGAAACGTGTAACAATGCTTCATTGTAATTGTTTTCTCTCGACAGACAACACATATGTATGTATGTATGCATGTATGATAATACATACACACATATACTGTCATAACTGCTTCCCCCACTTCACATTGACACTGAATATTGTTTGAGATGCCATTTCTGCTACGTATTTAGTTTGCGACCCACACTTTCAAGTTGTTGCTGTTCGCCGTTCGGTAATTAAGTTTACGAGTTTTTGAATGAATTTAAATTGTTCTGCGCTCCGGCGACCGATCTTTGTCTGGCCAGACTATGCCATTGGTCATCTCTGTTCGATATTATCTGACTCTCTCTCTCTCTCTCTCTTTCTCTTCGTGCTCTTCAAGCTTAAATGCATTACGCAAGCTTTGGTTATATTTAACTGTTCTTGAAAAACAATTATGAGAAAAGTAGTATGTGAAAAAAAAAAAACAAAGTACACAGCAGTTAGACATCTGTGTAGTTCTGTGTGTATGTGTGTGTGTGTGTCTGACTTTTGTATGATTTATTCGCAATATCACACCCAAAGCTCTTTCAGATCTCGTTCAAAGCAACAGCTACAGCCTGACGCATGCATATTACTGGAAGTCTGAACACATACATAATTACATATATATGTATGCACGTATATTTATTGAGGTGCTCATATACATATGTATGTATAAACGTAACTTTTCATTTATCAGTTTCAACAGCAACGGCAACAAAGGTGTGATTCAGTCAAGCCCCAGATTCGGCTGTCAGATTCGAGCTTTCAGTTCGGTCTTGGAAATGCATTTGGCATTTTGGCATATGTTTATACGGTTACATAATTATGTGCATACATACATACAACAAGTGTTCATGCAATTATGTATATGCATGTTTGTACTTATGTATGTTCGTGATAATTTTCCTAGAAAGCAGAGCAGACGTGAGGAAGTACGCGTTATAAAGAAAGAAAAAGTATGAAAAACGAATTCAACTGAAGTCAGAGCTGATAGCAATAAATAGCAAACATATGTACGCACACACATAAATACTTATGTGCACATGCATTTTCATACTCCGTATTTATGAGTGACCATTGCGAATGCGACATTGAATAGTGTCACAAGGAACAACCCTAGAATTGCCTTTGCATGTCGTTTTTCAACACTCCCCTTGCTGTTGGGTCTGTTGTGTCGGGGCGGGAGAGCGATCATAAATAAATGTCATAATGCAATAAAAGAGAAAAGTGTCACACTCACCAACACACGGACACGGCCAGGCGAACCCCATGCCAAATGCACTCACACATGCACGCACACACACACCCACACATGCAACACCACGAAATCCAGTTTCATTTCAAGACATTTGCGGCACCTCCGCAACAGAGTTGCGTGTAAAATGCAAAAGATGATGATAAAATGTGAACTTACAACGGCAGATAAAGCTTATATGTATATGCATGTGCATACTATATTCAGACATATGCACATAAAAGTGTCGAAAGGCATCTTGAGAATTTAAGTAGGTGGGCTTGCTTAAAATTTAAATAACACAAACTGCGTTAAAGAGGTGTGTGGGCAGATAAATTATAATATTACATATATTTATAAAGTGTGGGAAAACAATTGCAAGTTGATATTAGGCTTCTTAAGCTCTTTCTTTTAGCTTGAATTTCTATTAAATTCTTTCAGTAAATAAAATATTTTTTTATGGAATATCATTGTTAATTACTGACAAAATCCTCTTTAAATTAATCGAACCCTTATAATAATATCAGATACTCTATCTATGGTAATGGGTACTTAATAATAAGTTAGACACAAGACAAACTTTTGTCTATGTATTCTAAAAACACAATCCATGTTCAAAATTATATATGTATTTGCAGATACCAAGGTTTTTCGTTCGGGTTTCATATACCTTACCCAAAAAGAGCAAAGCCTATGCGTCACACCGAATGCCCAATGTCTACGTAAAGCTCCCAAATTTACATACAACTCGCTTTGACAATTTTAGCCTGTTATCGAAATCAAGTTATGGACGCCCACGCGAATGTCTGCGTCGAGGAGAATTCAAATTCTGGTTTCTGCACGCAAAACGCGCTCAACTGTAACGCTGTATCCAGGAACCAAGACTACCGGAGGGGGTATTATATTATCCGACCTATTTGACATGTGACTTTTGTGCCAACATTTCGCATAAAATGGCAAACTGTCTTTTGAGCCGCTCGACAATTTGGTGGCCAGATTAACGCGCGTCGCGAGCAGTTGTTCTGGTTTGGGAGCATGGTCGGGCTCGAGAGTTATACGATATATATATAGTACATACAAGTATATATCTATATATCATATAAATATAAACAAACATGTGTGCTCGCTTTCTTTTTCAGCCAACAGACCCGCAAGAGTTCAGTCTTTCCGGTCAGTGATTCTTTTTACTGGCCGCGTGTTGGGTGAAAATTATAGTTTATGATTATAATTAATACGGGTTAATGTCGACGACTAGCTAGCGCGTTGTTTACTTTCGCTTTTGTTTTTCATTCAATTAAAAAAAAAACACATCTTTTCTAATTGGACTCAGGCGACATTTCTAATTGGACTTAGTCACTTGTGTTCTTTGAATATAATTTTATCCGCAGACTCATTTCGTAAATCTTTTCATAACTAGCCCCGGCTTAAAATTTATAGAAATATAATTTTTGTAGCTTCTTATAAAGGAATGTTAGTTATGTTAGCAACTCTTGTATGTAGTTAGTTTCAACGACATTCTATAAAATATTCAACACATCTCAAAAACGTCTTGCAAAGATTATTTAAAAAATATTTGAATCCGATCGGAAAGTAAACAAAAAAGTTGAGCTCAACCATTTTTCGCCAATATTCCACAGTTGTGTGTGAAATTAGTTAATTCGCTGGAAACGTACTGAAAAACTCTGAATTGTAGCTGAGCTAACAATTTAAACACCTCCAACTCAAATTTTGACTTGCATGTTCCATGCATGGGGGTGGATTGTGCGAAATGTGTGAAAGGGTTTCTTTCTTTATTAATGCCTTGACTTCTGCTTTTTTGCTATTAAAGCTGCAATTCATTTGTTTGCTATAGACTTTATATATATAAAGTTACGAGCTTTTTGAATATTGGCAAATTTTTTTTTCGAAATTTTCACCCACCTGTTTTCCCATATAGCTTTTGGTTCGTGGAAGTTGAGTAAGCCGTAGAATTGGTGCATATTTCACTGTGGCAGCTGCTATATCTGAAATTAGAGGATGTAATATATATAATTCATAAGCTGCGCACAGTGGGACGAAAGTAACTTTTGCTAGCACAAAATTCGAAATCAAGTTTTTTAAATTTTAAATTTATTAAAATATATTTACTCAGAGATTTCTTGTTTGTTTAGTTGAAAAACAAACATATAAAATCCGAAAAGAAACAAAACAAAGCCCCATTGAAAGCAAAGTTATTAAAAGAAAGCCGAACGAAGGCAATAAATATTCCGAAGACAGTTTTGGAGTTCTGTCCGTAAGTCCCGAGGGTTGTATTTGTTTACGTTTGACTTACCAGAGGACTTAACTGCTGATAAGCGGCGACTTTAGAGACCACCAAATGCACGTTCATGGACAAGGGGCACATAAAACGGGGACGAGGAGTCATCAGGGGTTGTCACAACAAGGGCAAGGCGTGGCCTGGCAACCGGATTTCGGTGCAGTCAGCATAAACATGAGGCGAAGTAATGGAATCAGCAAGCTGAACCGAGCAGCAGGAGCTGATCCAGCTGGTCCGCGCCCACGCCAAATACAAGTACAATATCAGCCCTTTCGGTGCTGCAGCAGCTGCCGTGTGCTCCGGGGGTTAGTTCCACGTTCCTTTCGTTTTGTGAGACGCGTGCGGCCATCACATTACTCAACAGGCTGCGCCGCAGGATGCCCGCAGCTATGTCCTAGTAATTCCATTTATTTTGTTTTCTTTTTGTCGCGGGGTTCGCCTTTTCAGCGTCATCCTGGCCCAGCTCCAATGTACTCAAAAATTGATGCAATGCAAATAGAAACCGCGTACCAGACAGAAAGCGAAACAAAGTTGGGGGATTTGGTAACTTGGGAGAGTTTAGAATAAACAGCGTATGTTTACATTTTTTGGTCATGTTTATCAGACAGAAAAGCCAGATTCACCCAGCTCCCCTCCCGGTAGTACGAGTGTCATATGCACTCGCGAGTTTACTTTAGTTTGTTATTGTGACAGCCTCCCTTCCAGCTTGTTGGTTAACAGTCTGCCGGGGTGGGTTGCGTTACAAATTGCTCAAGTGATTCAATTTCGATAATGTTTCTGACATGGGCACAAAGGCTCTAACTGCAGTACAACTCCAGCTCTGACTAGGTACAGGCCCTAGTGTGTATCTGCCCCGGCGGTTGCTTGTTGTGGCATGTGCGATGTCCATAAATTTCACAATGCGACACTCCATAAACAGGGAAATGGAAATAAATATATGCACAAGCTCGCATAGTAAAAGGCACATTAGTTCTGATTTAGTGCAATTTGATTTCTTTGACTGGGCTCTATAAAATTTTGATTGCAATTTTATCACAGGCATTTAATGGACATTCAAAACGGCAATCAAATTTTTCAATACTTACATAAAAAATGTAAAATTAAGTATGTACAAGTGGAGTTTAAAGACTTGAGAAACTTAAGAAATATTACTACCAGGGCTGCAAACCAACTTCCTTACTACGGTTTTTCGTTCTTTTAAATTTTTTTTTTTCATATTGATAGTTTGGGCATATTTAAGTTCTCCCTTTAAAAGTTATTTCTTTTAAACCAAAGAGTTCTTTGATCACGAACTGGAACAGGTTCGACTCAAAGCCCGTTTGAAGCCTTGTTCATAGTTGGGTATATGAAAATACAGCTTGGTTCTTCGGATTACATATATTACAAATAAAATCTAGCTTTATTCCGTACTCAAATGCAACGCCCACCCATTGCCACCGAATCAATTTTGTTTTTAAGAACTTTCTTCTTAAATTGCCACTAAAATGAAGAAAAAAACATGCCACCGCTCCCGGTCGACAAGATGCACCGTTTTTATGTGCGATGTGCGTGATGGTCGTAATTACCGCGGCTGCGACTTTCCGGGAGCTCCACATGTTGCGAGTTGTCAGCGACAAATCTTCGATGCTGGCCATAAAGTCAAAAGCATGTCGAAAAGTGTGCTGAGAATCTCTATTACCGGGAGCAGAACAACAGCAACAGCAACAGCAACTGTAAATTGGAGATGAATACCCTGTAGAAATGGAAATTGTCACGAATTGCTGCGCGCAGTTGACCAAGCGAAAGAGAAGAGAGGCATGGAAGCGAGACAATACCGAAATGCGTATCTATCTATGTGCGAGTCTCTATACACAGTCAACAATCAGGCAACCCACCTGCACCCACCCACCTGCACCCACTCAGATGTCCACAGTGCGTCCAATAAGTAGCGCACCCATAGATAATAAAAACGATACAATGCGATCAAGAGTAAACAGTCGAACAAAACGAAATTGGCGCACAAAAGCGAGAATAAAACTAGCGAATTGCCAACTTTCGATATACCTTGCAAATGACAAGCACTATAAAATATATAGAGAGAAAAAAAAGCTTAAATCGGGTATATTCCGGTGCTACTGACTACAAATATAATGTCCAGAAAACTATCTAAAAGGCAGACGGTACCCTTTATCTGAAACTGGACTGAATCGGCCTTTTGGTAATTGAACTAAAGTCTGCGTCTATTGAATTATTTATTTAATTATTAATAATATTATTTTAATATAGAATAATAAACAAACATGATCAAATTTTAATACATACACATAAAGTACTTTGATATATAAATAAAAATAAAAAGTAGAAAGCATTTATATTCGTTTACCAACACTGTTCTCATTAAATTCAAACCAATCATTCTTAACACTTGTTTGTTGATTTAAGTCGTACTTATGTAAAACTTGGCTTAAACTTCTTTCACTTCTGACTCCGATTATCTACATATTTTGTGTACGATTTTTCCTTAAAACAAAGATCTTCCCATATCTGGGATTATATCTGTTTCCTTCTTCTAAGCATAGCATGGATAAAATAGGATATATTTACAAGATGCTCAATATCTTTTGATCAGCCCTGATCACCTCCGATTATACCTAACACTCGGCTGAGCCTGTAAGATATTCTAGCCTAGGATTCGAGTTGTGAACTGGTTCGCCTATCAAAGGATATCTATTAACCCCTTTTGCCACAAGTGCTGGGTACAAATAGCAGAGCATAAAACGGAAGCTAGCCGAAATTAAAGTAACTGACGACAGATACGACAAAATAAACGACAGACAACGACAATTAAAGCGTGACACAGTGAAAAAGTTGACAGAGCTAAATGTGTTCAATAGATAACTGCGGAGCAGCACATAGCTCACCCAAAGGGGACCCAAAGAAGCACCGCAAATTGAACGCTGTCTCGATGTCTGTCCATGTGTCTAAGTGGGTCTCGACAATAGACCCAACCACAAAGTAAAAGTCGCGCAGACAAAACAATCGAAATCGCACTCGCCCTCGCCCTCGCCCTCGCCCTGGCCCCAATTGTGGCGATAGATGGAAATGGACTCGCCCCCAAAGCGTCAGAGATGCCGGAATCCGATATAGCTATGAATAAAACACGACGTATGCACATTTTCCAGAAGCACCCGACGCCTGTTTCTTGATTGAAAAATTGCCCAGCTAAGCGCATACTAAAATTCCATTCGAAATTCAACTTATGGATAATGGGCCTTTAAAGGCAAGTTAATGTACAAAATACAGTAGCTCCTATTAACCGAGAATAATTGTAAGTATGTCCGGAAGAAACAGTTTAAATACGATATACTTTATACATATAGGCTAATATAATATGCTTGGAGAATAAGAAGGCACATTTAGGTTTAATAAATATCTAACATAAACTTTCTAAAACTTAACCCTATTTGTTTAACTGTCTAAGAATAACTACTCATCTTTGTATATAAATAACAGTCTAATGCTCGAGATTTTTAAATCCCCGTTCATTTTTCTCTCAGTGTATACACAGTTAGAAGTTGGCGATTCTGTATTATCAGAAATACAACTTTTTTGTATAATATTTTTTATTGTTTTAGCAAAAACTGTAAAATGTACTTCCCGAATCGATTATAACCTATTGCTCCCTAGCGTATAATATATATATATATCGTTTCTATAAATTTTTGTTGTAGTTTCTAATAGAGATTAAGCGGACACGTGGTAATCAATCAAAAAGTTAACTCAGTACATAGGGGGGAATTGTTTTTAAATCTTGTCTATAAGCGCATAATTCACAAAATTAAGAGACGATCGAGTCCAAGTTTCGACTTCATGGGAGAGAACAATTGAAATTCTCGTGAGATTTGATCAAACGAAAATTATGATTTGCTCTGCATAATTGAATCAATTAAGTGACGGCCCAACAAACCCAAAAATGATTAAGTTACTCGAATATTTTCATGAACTAGACCATCAGAATACCCTGTAAACAAGAGGGAGAAGAATATCCAAGAATATTTTAACTTTCATCTACATTTAAAGTGGGATCAATATAACTGAAAAGTTGATTTTACATGTGGAAACTCTTCTACCGCATACAGCTCATATGTGTAGTCGTGTATACCCCTCGCTTGGTGGTATGCAGCATTCATAATTAATGGAAATTCGGCGAACAAAATGCATTGTAAATGGAATTGGGAACAATGCGTTGCAGAGATTTTTTCGTTGCCAGCATAAAAGAGCAAATGTGGCATGAAATGCAGTCCATAAATAAGGGGGAAGGCAACAGCCCAGGGGAAGGGGGCTTCAAGTAGTAGCCATCGTAGCAGTAGCTGGCAATTGAAAGCTTCCAATGCTGCTGAGATTTCAAGTTGCGGCAATTGATGGGGAATAGGGCATGGGGCATGGGGTAAGCTGCGCCTGCGCCTGGATCTGGGCGATCGCAGCACTTGCGTATGGATCGATGTCAATCGACTGCCATTAGGGGCACTTAACGGCGGCAATGCAGCCGGAATTGGTTTTAAATGCCAGACAATAAAAAGTTCAACTCGCGTGCTTCGAGTTTGATTTCATATGAGCTGAGCGTTGCCTCAGCGAAGGTTGGAGTTGCAGTTCACATGAGTCACGACGCCTTCGCCCACGCCACGCCCAGCCGAAGATTTAGTGTGCGACCAGCCGCAAAC